TTTTCTGGTTTCAGCATTGATTTCTTCTTTCCTTCTTTATTAGTTTTGTTCATCTATTTTGTTTTGGGGATGAAGGCTTTAACATCTTTACTCATGTAGCTTATCCCTTCCACTGGGAGGTCTAATTCATCTGCTTCACTAATTTTATTTTCTGCTTTATTTTGTCTTTTACTTTCTACTTTATTCATTGCTTTCATTCAAGCATTCAAGCTCACAATTTAGATTTTCTTTTTTCTGGTTAATGTAAACTCCTTTCTGATCTCATATTTCTTTCCATGACTACCTGCACTATGTTCAAAGATGGTGCTATTGTCCTTAGTAATTTTAAGAACATGAACTAGAAATTTTCTAAAGTTTTATCTCTCATATAGTGTCCTTATTTCTTAAGTAAATATTTGCTCTGACTCTAGAATCTTCCTTTCTTTTTTTTTTTTTTTTTTACCATAGTATGTTTCATTTGCCTGGTGGATTTCAATTTTTCTCTGTTGCTTATCTTCAGAGAGGGAAGTCTATGCATATTCAGTGTTGGGTATTGCCCCGTGTTCTTTCAGGAGACTTGTATGAGTCACTGTGTGAAGTCCAGATGAAGGAAAAGGGTTAGATTTGTAGTAGATTAATTTACCAATTAGAAATTCATCTTCCTGTGAGGCCTGGGGAGGGAGCCAGCATCAGCTCCAGAAGTAATCAAAGGGAAGTTTGCTTCAAACCAGAGACTTTCTTTTAGGTTTTTGGTGTGGCACTCAGTGATTAGCAAGGTCATTGTCACTTGGCATGGCTTCCCTTGCCAGAAGCCAGCTCATAGGTTCCCCTCCCCCCCACATGTTTTCTGTGGCAGTCATCATGGCCACATATAAATCAGAAGTGAATGCAGCCGAGGTTACTTGCTGGGTTGGCTTCTGGAGCCAAGAACCCTTTTAAAGGAATTAGTATATTTTAAATGTACCCCAACTCCCCCCTGGCTTAGTTCCCTCAGCCTCCCATCCCTCTAAACTAGGGGTATCATTATGGGTTTATTGGCTTCTCATTGGCTTATTTTCACGCAGTTGCAGTTTCACAGGAAGGGGTTGTTGTGCCTTGGTTCTTTTGTCAGCCTCCCACGTTGATTCTTTCCAGTACATATTTCTGGAAATTTAAGCAACAGTTGGGATCCATCTGTGGATTCTAGGGCTGATTCAGGATATTTCCCAGTCTTATAATCAACTGGCCATTTGTTTGGTGATCTGGCACAGAGAAATTAGCCTATGTAACTTTCTTATTTGGATATTGTATTTTACACATGTAATTTGAATTGTGTGTGTGTGGGAGGGTATTAATTCATACCCATTGGCCTTAGGGGAATGGATGAATGGTCCAGTAAATATATAAATTGGCAGAGCTCATCTTTTGCAAGTGAGAGGCATTAGAGAGAGTTTTATGGTTTTGAGAAGAGCAATATAGATTAGAAGAGATGCCTAGGAGAATAGAACATGGAGACAACTAGGGAAGGTAGAAAGGGCTTCAATAAGGGTCCAAGGGCAATTGGAGACTCTGATGTCAGTGGGGTAAACTTACCCTGTGTTATGGTTTTCTGTGGGTAGAATACAGTTTTGAAGCTTAAGCAAAGGAAATGGAGAGTTAGGTTGATGGCAGGTTAGAAGACTTGCAGAACAGGTATTCAAGTGCTTGGAGGAGTTCAGAGGGGTGTATTTTTTAAAATTTCTTTAAAAATTCTTGTGCAACTCTATAGTTGACGGTCTGGGACACTGATAAGGTCAGAGGGCTGGTCTGTCAAAGTGAACCGGCGTACTTACCTAGAGACTGAACGATATTGCTACTTAGGTTATTGTCTTTTTTGTCTGGTCTAGTTCCGTGATTTGTGTAGTTTTGTAAGTTGGGAAGTAAATAGATTTCATAGATGTAATTTTAAGACATTACTCCCCAGAGGGATGATTTTTACTTTTGAAGTAATGTTGTTTAGCCCTTGTATTTGGCAGAGTTAAGTAACCAAACACTATTCTATAAAGAGTTTTTATAGTGTGTGAATAGGTTCAACAGAAGTCTCAAAATTAGATATGTCTCAAATATTTTAGGGGAAGACAGTTAATTTTCTTGAAAATATTAATCTAACAATATGTCCTATATGTTAGGCATCTCAAGGGAATGAAATACAAAAAAAGGGTCCCATCGTTAAAGTTTTGTATAGAGGATAACAGCACAGGGTTCTCTGTCTCTGGGTTACTCTGCAGATCATCTGACTTTCATCCTGCTTTCTTCATTTTCTTTCTGACATTTTTGTTTAAAGATTCCAGGTACTTTCCATCTCTCTTTAATTTTTGTTCATTTGGGGAGTTGGTCTATGGAAAGAGCATGGGCTGCAGAGTCAGTCCTAGTTCAGATCTCTGCCCACTGGCTGTTGTGACTATGGGTGTGTTGCATAAGTTTCCAAAGGTGTCTCCTCTATGAAATGGGTTAATGATATCTGCCTCAAACTCTATGTGAAATGACTGCCCCAAAGCTCGGCATCCAGTGGGCTTCCATTAAATCCCAGTCCCCCATCTTTCCCCCTCCTGTTAGCAATAATGCCCTATGTCATATTTATTTTTGGGTCACATCCATTTCTATATCTCTTTCCTTACTGTAAGATAGGTGCCTGTATCCCTCTTTTAGGCAGCTCTCTGTATTATAAATGTTGGAAATATTTAAATTGCTTAATGACTTGACTTAGCTGGAATGATACTGAACCCAAGCATGCAGTATGAATTTTTCAGGACGGGTTGATTCTTACCTGCTTTTTTGTTTTTTTAGTTACCATGCTATTGATATATTCATCTATCTCACATAGAATAGAGCAATATTATTTGGAATTATAAATATATAAGAAGGAGAGAGGAAAAAATTAAAGTAGGAGTGGCCAAAAAAATGATACCAGGAATAAGTTTAGTATAAAACAGTGTACCACACAGTCCTATAATTTTCTTGGGATAGGCTTAACACCTTAGTGGTCCATGAAAAAGGAGAGGCATTCCTGTGTACATATACCTTTTTCCTGGGTTGTTCATTTAAATTCACAGTGTACCTAAAATAAAAAGTAAAAAAGGAGACTTTATTAAAAAAATAAATTCACAGTGTGAAAAACAACAGCCCTTTTATTTTTTCTTCTAAAACTGGGACTAAAGAGAATATCAGTATTGTCTCAGGGCAGCTATGGATGAATTCTCTGTTGAATGTTACACCCAGATAGCTTGAGAACTTCACTCTTATTTGTTAATAACAATAATCACTCTAACAGAGGGGAAGAAAATAGGAAGATTCTACAATTCTAAACAATTAGAACCTAAAACGATTGAAACTATAGTATGAAGACTAATACACAGAAACAAATAAAAATAAAAATTTCAAGTTTATAGGAGTTGCTATCAAACCTAGATAATTTCTTAGAAAAGCTGAGCTGGTGGCTTGCCAGCGTCACTGAGCTAATATAGGGTACCACCAAGGACTTGGAGCAAATGTTCAATTCCACCTTTTCTGCTGCATAAAACTTGGATCTTGTGATCTCTGTAGTTCATTACTTTTACTATTACGAAAAGTATCATTTTCTAATAATTTAAAATTGTTCAGGTGTCATCTTGCACGTTGGTGAAGCCGGAACGTTTATTTAGAAACAGACGTTCCCCAAAGGCAGAGGCTGGCTCAGTCTTATTCATTATGCCTCTAGTTCTCTGTAGATGCTCAATAAATAGCTTTTGAATAAAAGAAAGGATATTGCTGGGTGGCAGGAAAACCACCTAAAAATGAAAAATTTTCTTATAAGAATTTTTCTTAAAATGAAAAAATTTTACCTTCTGTACTAAATTGCAATGTGGAAACAATCAGATCAGGCTTTGAACAGAGCTGGGGCCATGCTTCACTGCAGGGAATTTAGCATTATTCTGGGTTTTTGTAATATATCAATAAGAGATTTGGTTATACTTTGTGCTTATTTAGCATCCTCTCCTTGAGGATGTCAGAAGGATTTTAGAAATGTCCTCTTCCTCACACGTGTGGGAGTCTGGTTTACGAAGCTCCTCACCTACCTGTCTGAGAACCCAACTCTTTCTTGTGACCGACTACTATAATGTCGAGGTTTCTTACCTTTCTTTAATCTTGAAAATGGTAGCTAAGTTACTTAAGAAAACGTAAACATGAAACATACTCACTTTTTTAGGTTTCATACTGGACTGGGAGTTGGGGTTTTTGCTATGGTCCTGGTTGTACCACCAACTGGGTGATTTTAGTCCCTTCTCTTTTCTAAGCCTCAGTTTTTTCATCTGCAAATGGGCAGGATTGAACTGGGTGATCTCTAACCACTTGATGGTGTTATAGTAGTCCACCCTTATCTGTGGTTTTGCTGTCCATGGTTTCAGTTACAAACTCAGTCCAAAAATACTAAATGAAAAGTTCCAGAGCTTTAAATTGCTCACTGTTCTGAGTAGCATAATGAAATCTCACACCATTGATGTCCAGTGTATCCACAATGTATATGCTACCCACTCATTAGTCGCGTAGTCACTGTCTCTGTTATACACAGGGTTCAGTACTATCCATGGTTTCAAGCTGCCACTGGGGGTCTTGGAACATATCTCCTCACATATGAGGGGACTACTCTATTCTCTCTGCCCTTTGTATAAACTGTCACCTCTCAATTGTGGACCATTCAGTTCCCTTATTGTTTAATGACAGGGTGGCTTCTTCCCAGCTCACCTTCCCTGTCTCTGTAACTTGAAATTGCCTCCCCGAAACAGCTAGCTGGTGCTCAGAATTGGATCCAAACCTATGAAAATATATCAACTTAACATCATTTGGATAAATGGTACAGAAGTCATAGCTTGTAGATCTTAGATCTTCCCTACCAGGTTCTTCTTTTCATTACGCTAGTATTCGACACTGGGTATAAGGGATTTTTTCCTCCTCTGGCCAATGACACTTCTCTGCCAGCTGCTAGTCCTCGTATGCTAAATGTGGGTTTTCCTATCCTTTTCTAGGTACACAGTTTCTCCTAGTATGACCTCGATCTGATCAGCCACCACGAGAATTTGACTCCCGAGTCCTGTGCCATAGTGCTTGGGCCTGATCACCGCCCACACTGTAGGGCTGCCATGGCTGCTGCCTCTACTTCCACCCCTGTCATTTCACAGCCCCAGGTAAGTGATTCAAACTAGCATGGGTTTGAGCTAATCCTGGTTTTGTCGAATATTTAACTTGAGTTTAAGAGTATGTGTTTGATTCTAGGGATTATGTATATTTCTCTCATTATCATTTGGTGGGTATTTGGATAATGGTGCTTTTGTAAGCGAGGTGCCATTGAGTTCAGGAAGCAGCTGGAACAATGAACAAGTGATTTTGGTGAACTGGCCTCTGTTCATAGTGGGCCTCGGTTTTCAGTGCTGAGCATGGCTGGCTGTTACTCTGGACGTCAACTCTAAATCAGGATAACTCAGTAGTCAATCCTGCTGTTTTTCCTCTCTTGGCTTTTTTTTTTCTTTTTCTGATTTAATGAAATATTTCAGAATAGATCTAATCTTATAACAGCTTTTCTAAGTGTTGTCTCATTGTCTTCCTCTTAATAAGTATCATTTTGTCTTGACCTGTTGTGGGAACTTTGAAAACAAAATGCAATTCTAGAAAGTTCTGAACAGCAGTCATAGGAGTTACTTTTTCTATCCCAGGAATAGCAGGAATATGGCTGGGACAGTCTTTGTTTAGGTTACTTTACAACCTGATCTATTTGAGTACTCACTGAACTCTTTTAGATTCAGCAGGTTGCCCGGTACCGTGTGGGAATAGACTTTGGAGTTGTTAGGCCTCAATTCACCACCCTGCTCCTCTGATTGCCAGATAAAGAGCCTTAGTAATGCTCACCTCTCTCAGCTTCAGTTTCCTCTCACGTAATCATACCTCACACTATGGTTGTACTGATTAAATGATAGAATATATGTGAAGCACACAGTAAGTGCTCAGTAAGTGCGGTTTCCCATTTACTATTCTTTTACCTTTTCTCTGTCTAGAGCAGGTGTCCTCAAACTACGGCCCGTGGGCCACATGCGGGCCGCCTAGCACATTTATCCTGCCCTCCAGGTGTTTTTGCTGCCACTGCCCGTCCTGCTTAGCAGCCGACTCGTCCTGGGCCCATAGTGCGCACTCTCCAACGGTCTGAGGGACAGTGAACTGGCCCCCTGTTTAAAAAGTTTGAGGACCCCTGGACTAGAGTATGACCTCTGCTGTCATTCATAACAATCATTTTTAGGCCAAGGTTAAAGAAAAAAGCATACCTTCAAGAGAAAGTCATATTGATTGAAATTTAAACCTCCATGATACAGAACGCCCCCCACTTTTTTCCTGTAGCATTTTGCAGGCTATTAAAGTTTGCATGTATTTCAAGTAGGGGTGTTTAGATGTTTGTGAGAGAGGGAGAAGAGAAAGTGGAGAAAAGGCAAAACGGGTACTTTTACTTCATTTGTTACAAACTTTCTTCTCTATAAGACCTTGGGATTTTATCATATGGATAAAGTCCTTGCTGTTCTTTAAGCTTTTAGTATTTTTTTTTTCCCCCTAGGATGTTTAGTATTACTGTCATCATGTGTATTTCTCTTTCTGGTAAATGGATCCCTGCCCTTTCAACACTTCGTTTTCTTTAGGTGTTTGGTTTCCCTTACTCGCAACAGTGTATTTTTTTTTTTTTTTTTGTGCTTGAGAGACATTGAGAATGGGTAAAGAGATCTAGTGCCTGTTACCTGAGGTCACCATTCCAACGTCCACTGCAGCTGTTCCCATGTAGTGACTATGCTTAGCGTTTTGCGAAGTGAGTTAGGCCCTAGTACGGGTTTTGTGGGCCAGGAGTTCCAGCATCCCAGTGTCGCTGCTGTCATTTGTCAGCATTTCCAACAGCAGCATCTTATCTGAACATCTTCCCTGTTACATAAGCTCCTATCAGCTGGTGAGTAATGTAAATGCTTCTCAATGACTCATTTAATTAAAATGTTTAACACTGCCCAAGGTTGAAAGGGGTTATATTTAATAAATACCAGGGGAAATGTGTACTCTCATAAATTCTCTGTGGGAAGTAAATTGGTACAGTCACTGCAGAGGGTAATTTGACAGTATCTATTAAAAGTACAGACTTTACATATACCCTCCCCCTTTCTTGGTATCTACATCAGAAAAACACTCCCACGGGAGCCCAAGGAGGAGGGTACGGAAAGATTCATTGAAGCATTGGTTGAAAACCAGGAAGTGTAAAAATGTTCTGAATATCCAACAGTGAAAAGACGTAATAAATTCAAGTGTGTGGATATGATTGAAATACCATCCAGCAGTTAAAGCATGAGGCTATCTACAAAGCTACATATTGCTCTAAGATGTCTTATGGAAGAAAAAGAAAGCAAGATGCAGAATGATGCAAGAGGGCAAAAGTTAGATTTTGGGAGATGTAAAACCCCTCCAAAGCTTAACTTTCCCCAACAAAATCTTATTCCTTAGTATTTAATTTCTCCTTAGGGAGAATTTAAACTTAGTTAACATTTCCTCCTTTAGGGTCACTAACAAGAAAAAAAACAAGGTCAAAAACACTGGTTTCTTAAAAGGATGTACATGGATCGCCAGTAACCCTGCCTGAGTTGAAATCCTGGCTCCGACATTTACTTATTAACTGAGCCTGAGGGGAAGGTTTCACCCTTTCGGTGCCTCTATTTCCCCATCCACAAAATGAGCATAGCAACAGTGAAGCCAACCTCATTGGGTGGTTTTAAGGATTAAATGGGATAATCTGTATAAAACTTAGAGTAGTGTCTGGCACATATTACTCAATCCATGTTAGTAAGAATTTTTATTATTGTTCAGCGAGCCCTATGGCCAACCTGGGGAATACAAGAAATGAGGTTTTGGTCCTGCTAGAGTTTAGAAATGTAGTGGGAGATACATAGATAACAAAACAAGTTCCAACACCGTGTCGTGAATGTGATGATACAGGAAGTATTGGGTGTTCCACAGGTAAAGAGGAACATCCAGAAAAGACTTGGAGGATTCAGGAAAGGCTTCTTGAAGGAAGACCCCCAGGCTGGGAACTAATGACTATGAGTTATTTTGGTAAAGGAGAAGAAAAAGCATGTGTGAATGTCAAATGTCCCAAGGTGAGAGAGAGCACAGCATTTAGAATTTAGTTTAGGATAGTTGCAGTATAGTGGGGCATGGGGTCGTCAACAGTGATGTCCCTCGAGCCACCTCTACCAGCTCACAGGGTGGGGGGTGGATTGTTAAATTTTCAGGAATTTTGTGAGCTGATGGGCTTCATGCTGGTAGCTTGAAATCAGCCTCAGTGGAGTATTTACACTACAGAAGTTGGCAAATGCTAGAAGTAGCATAAATGGGTTAGGTTGTAAGGTTGGAGATTTTTGCAGGGTCTTGCAAATCATATTAAGAATTTAACATTGATCTTAAAGAATCAATAGTAGTGTAGTTTAGTGGTTACCCAGGCTTAGACCTGGTTCAAACCCTAACTTTTGATAATTCTATGGAGCAGGTTGATTAATGAATCTTAACTGGGGTAGATGGGAACAGTGGTAGCAACTGGTGGTTGGGGAAATAAGCATACTTGGAAGGAGCCTGCTATATAAACTCTGGTGTTAGGTCATAGAGAGAGGTAACTTACTGTTCTGGGGAGATGCAGACCATTGGGTCACTTGGTTCCCAGGGTCCTCTGGTCATTGTTGGGACTCCTGGTATATGTCAGCTCTTCACATGTAATTTGTACAGTCAAATTTTAGCCCAAGGCTGACTTGCCCCTACCCCCATGCTTGCATTGAGGTCTTCTCTCTTATTATCAGTTTTTCCCAAGCTCAGAGGAGGTAATAATTTAAATACAGCATCTCTTTAGGCAAAGCATAATATGCAGTTCACTCAATCAGCTTAGCCTGGTATTGTCTGGCACATCAACTTGCATTCTTTTAGAGTGAATTCAGGGACCTGTGTAAAGATAAACCCACATGCAAGTGTAAAAGGCTTGAAACTCCTTTTCTAAAGCCAAAACAATAATTTTTTTTTAAAAAAGCTTTTGGTTTTGTTTGTTACTCTATTCATTTGGTAACAAAGAGCATTTTTCTAATCAAGGCTGCCTAATGCTAGATATAAACTAATTAAAATGAACAAATAGCTTGTGATTGTTTCCAACAATAATAGGGAAGAAAGCTTCCATTGTCACTCCTGCAGGGATTGCTGTTTAGTTAGTGAAAGATATGCCTTGTGCTTTGAAGTCAGACAAGTTTGTATTGTCTGCTTTACTCCCGCCCAGACTTAAAGACAGATTTTTGTTTTCTCTTTCTCTAGGTGCTCTCTGCCTAGAGAGCACCTAGTCGTTACAAAGCTAGGTGAATACCAAGGCAAAACTGGACTAGCAGCAGCAGGAAGACTGTGTGTGTAGCTGATTTATAGTTCTGCTAGTCCAGACACTGATAAAGAGCTTCCTTATCCCAAGGAAGCTCCAAGGATGTGTTTGCAGACAGGAACCTGCTCATTAGGTTGAGTTACTGTGTTCATGTCCTGTGCAAGGTGGGGGGTGGGGCTGGGGAAGGAAACCAACAACAACAAAAAACTTGCCACTCTCAATAGCCGTTTTCTGCTTCTAGAATTGACTCAAGCACTACCTTAATTGTGTTTGATCAGGTTGCTGTGGATAGAATTTGGATTAAAAGTTTTATTTTCATTTTTATTAAAATAGAAGAGTGAATAGTTCAATACCTGAATGAACAGTTTGGCTTCTCTCAAACCCAGGACTTACATTAGAGACCAGAATAGGCATCTGAGAACGTAAAAGGTATTCAGTTCTCACACCTTTGATTCCAGTAAGGAAGAACTCTTTTCCATCAGTGTTCTACAAAGCATTTCTTTCTGCCTCTCATTTACTTGGTGACCATTTTGGTTTTAAGCTCAGGACATAAAGATATTTTGATCCCTTCAGCAAATCCATGATTTCTTATAGCTTGATGTGAATTCGGGTAGATTTTCAATGTCTTAATCCAGAGATTGTTCCTCTAATTCTTGTTCAGTGTTCTGATAAAAGGTGATTGGTCTCTACTTGTTTGTTGAAAGACAAGTTTTTTTTTTTGAACATTGTTAGTGATAGAGTCTCTTAACAAAACACACCTTATTA